AGATCTTGAACTTTTTTAAACATACTCATTGACTCCTTTTGATGTTAATTCAGCCATACAAGAGTCCTTATTTTACCCACTGAACATATTTGTGGCCAAAGAATTCTTGAACATTAAGTTACTATACAGATTGACCTCTTATGATGTTATTTTAGCCAGACAGATATTTGACCTACTGGACATATTTCTGGCCCAAGAGTACTTGATCTTGAACTTTCTATACATACTCATAGACTCCTTCTGATGCTTCCTAAGCCATATAGAATTTCCAAATTTGACCTATTGAACTAATTTCTGGTCAAAGGGTCGTCAAAAGGTTTTAAACAATATAAACGTATAGACTCCTTCTTAAGGAGTCTGTACAGAGGTTTCTTTTTGACCCACTGAACATATTTCTGGCCCACGAGTACTAGATCTTGAACTTTCTAAACATACTCATTGACTCCTTTTGATGTTCATTCAGCCATACAAGAGTCCTTATTTTACCTACTGGACATATTTCTGGCCCAAGAGTACTTGAACATTAAGTTACTATACATATTGACATCTTATGATATTAATTTTAAGCCAGACAGATATTTGACCTACTGGACATATTTCTGGCCCAAGAGTACTTGATCTTGAACTTTCTAAACATACTCATTGACTCCTTTTGATGTTAATGCAGCCATACAAGAGTCTGTATTTTACCTACTGAACATTAGATCTATAACGTTAGAGATGTTCTTTATTTCATGAAGTTGGAGAAAATAAGGTACTCTCTTCGCCGACCTAGCACTATTTTTGTCAAGCTTTGGAGACCCCTTCGTGAACATGTCCAAACTCTCCAGCTTGACCCTGCTCTCTGTGTTTGATTTTGGACCCCATTCCCAGACCCCAAGCCCACCAATCACCAGCCTAGATGATACTACTCCTGTATTGTCTGGTCAATATATAATTGGGTTTACTGTATGCAGGATTGTATTAGATTGCACTTGTAATTTGTTGGGGGTTTTTTTGGGGTTTTTTTTTTTCTTTTTTTTTCTTGTGGGACTTCGGTGTATCTGTTTACTGTTATATATTTTAGTGCCTTTTTTGTCTCCCACTGTTTTGTAATGTATCTTAAAATGCATAAATAAATCATAAAAAAATAAATAATAAATAAAAAGAGAATTTAAGTAAGTTGCCTTTGGGACCCTTTGGCCAGAAATATTTTCAATGGGCCAAAAATAGGCTGGCTGATGTAACATCAGAAGTAGTCCATGAGTTTATGTAGTAAAAAAAAATTTGAGGACCCATTGGCCAGAGATATGTTCAATAGATCAGATATGGACTTTTGTATGGCTGACGTAACTTCAGAAGTCAATCAGTATGTGTAGAAAGGTCAAGTTAGAGGACTCTTTAGCAAGAAATATATTCAATAGGCTAAAAATGGACTGGTGTATGGCTGAGGTACTATCAAAAGGAGTCATTATGTATAGAATGTTCATGATCTTTTTGGACAGAAAAATATTCAGTAGGTCAAATATGGACTACTGTCTGGCTGATTTAACATCAGAAACAGTCTTTGAGAATATACAGTAAGTTGCCTTTTGGGGACCATTTGGCCAGAAATATTTGCAATGGGCCAAATACAGGTTGGGTGACGTAAAATCAGAAGTCAATGAGAATGTGTGGAAAGTTCACTATGTTCATTAGGTCAAATGGACTACTGTATGACTGACATAACATCAGGAGTTCATGAGTTTATATAGTTAAAAAAAAAATTTGAGGACCCTTTGGCCAGAAATATGTTTATTAGGTCAAATATGGACTACTGTTTGGCTGAGGTAACATCAGAAGGAGTCAATATGTATAGAATGTTTAATATCGAGTACTCTTTGGCCAGAAATATGTTCAGTAAGAAAAATAAAGACTCTTGTATGGCTGAAGTAACATCAAAAGGAGTCAGTGAGTATGTTAATAAAGTTCAAGATCTAGTACTCGTGGGCCAGAACTATGTTGATTAGGTCAAAAAGGAACCTCTGTATAGCTTATATAACATCAGAAGGAGTCTATAAGTTTATATTGTTTAAAACCTTTTGAGGACCCTTTGACCAGAAATTAGTTCAATAGGTCAGATATGGACATTCTATATGGCTTAGGAATCATCAGAAGGATGAGTATGTATAGAAAGTTCAAGATCAAGTACCCATGGGCCAGAAATATGTCCTGTAGGTCAAAATGTCTGTCTGGCTAAAATAACATGATAAGAGGTCATTCTGTATAGCAACTTAATGTTCAAGAACTCTTTGGTAAGAAATATGTTCAATTGGTAAAATAAGGACTCTTGTATGGCTGAAGTAACATCAAAATGAGTCAATGAGTATGGTTAGAAAGTTCAAGATCTAGTACTCGTGGGCCAGAACTATGTTCGTGGGTCAAAAAGGAACCTCTGTATAGCTTATATAACATCAAAAGGAATCTATAAGTTTATATTGTTTAAAACCTTTTGAGGACCTTTTGACCAGAAATGAGTTCAATAGGTCAGAAATGGACATTCTATATGGCTTAGGAAGCATCAGAAGGAGTCTATGTGTATGTATATAAAGTTCAAGATCGTGGGCCAGAAATATGTCCAGTAGGTCAAATATCTGTCTGGCTAAAATAATATGATAAGAGGTCATTCTGTACAGTAACTTAAGGTTAAAGAATTCTTTGGCCAGAAATATTTTCAGTAAGTAAAATAAGGACTCTTGTATGGCTGACGTAACATCAAAAGGAGTCAATGAGTATGTTTAGAAAGTTCAAGATCTAGTACTTGTAGCGATTATACGCACGTATAAATATAATTAATTATTATTCATAACGGATTATGATCAATAATTAATAATTTAATTATTTTCAGAATTTACTGTAGCAGAATCAATAGTATGATCATCTTATCAGTTCATCCAATGAACGGAAAGCATAAACAATTATTAATTCTAGGAAATATAATATCTTCTTGGCCAAGAAAGACTAATTCCCAGCTAACAGCTAAATTAAGAAATAAATCAAGGGTCAAAGCATAGGTAACTTAGATCGAAGTTCAAGACAATAAATCTGTAAGCACATATCACAAGTAATGCTTCTCTTTTCAAATACAAACAATACTTTATTGATTATAAGCCTATGACTAACACACAAAACAAATATCTAACACAAACACACTCACTTAAAAATGTTGGGTTAAAAATAACCCAACGAATAACCCAACTATGGGTTGGTATAGCACCTTCCCAACTGTGGGTTATTTTAACCCAATGCATTGGGTTAAATACCAGTTGGGTTAAAATAACCCAACAGTTGAGGTAAATATTTATTTTTATAAAGAATATTTATACGGTATTATATTATATTATTTATTTTTATAACCTTTTTTTAATAAATAAAATACACATTGTTTTCAAATATATATATATTTTATTGGTCTATAAACACAATAAATATGTTTTAACATGTTTTAAGTATTACATTATGAAGGTACTAAGTATTACATTATGAAGGTATTACATTATGAATAGTGACCCTAGTAAATATACACGTGTATAATAAATAGAACAAACAAACAATTATGATGTGCAAATATTAAAATATACACATTAAATTTAAAACATGCGTGCACTTTACAGTACATCAATTAAAAACACACATATGTGCCACAATAAAAATAAATACATGCTTATTAAAAAGGCTGTACATAAATTAAAAACGTACATAGATGTGCCTACACACACACACACACACACACACACACACAAAACCAATCTGTACATACAGTACACAAATTCTAAATGTATCTGTACATACAGTACACACCTTTAATACAATAAAAAATAAACATACTTATTAAAAAAGGCTATATTGTACACATTGTGTTATAAACACCTTAATATGTATGGTGTTTGGCTACTGGAGCTACTGATGATCAGTATTGAAAACAAAGCTTTTAAGGAGGTGGCAATGTATTGAAGGAACTCCTCCAGGAATATTATAGACAGCATACTGTAAAAACTCCCAAATGGGAGCAGAAGCTTTGGGTAGTTAATGTCATAGATGTAGAATATTTTGAAGCATACATCCACTGCTTGCAGGAGTTCTCTTTGTCCAGACAATCCTGGCTTGTCTCACCATATTAGTTCCAACCTTAAAAGATAAATATACTTTATAAAGATTAGCCACTCAATCATTGTGTGAAGTTCAGGCAAAGATGACTCGGACTCTACAGCAGATACAACACACTAAAATTAGGGAAAACATCTGGAAAAAACTTTGAGTGATGATTAACTACCTTAGTATTTCCCAAACCTGGTTCTGGGGTACCCCTAGTACTGCAAATGCTTTCTCTCTCTGATTAAAAACCACTGATTCAAATTATCAGCTTTTTAGGCACACCAATTAAATTAATAATTAATAATTAACAACAACAAAAAACAAGTCGTCATTTACTAACCTTAAAAACAGTTCTGGCCCTTGTTTATGATTGACAGAACCATGTTGGAAGTTGTTGTAAACATATAGGCAAGTAATTTAGGAAGCTAAAATTTAGAATGTAAATGACTGAATTTGCTTATTTGAGTAATCCATTCCATTCAAGCACGTGTAGCCATAAGAGCATTGCTTCAGTTCTGAGGATTGTATTAGATAATCATCAAGTGTTCTAAAATAGAAGCAAACAAACTGAGAGACTACATGTAATATAGACCTACAATTATGTAATTTTAATGCTCTGGTCTTTGCAGATATTTAAAGATGGCCATCTTTAAGCATGACTCTTTGAATTTATATGAAATAGTAACACTTGCGCTTGAATCAACTGTCCTCAGCATCATCAAGCAGTTCTTATTGTTGAGCCCTGTACTGGCTACTTGTCCAGTTGCAAGTAAAAATCTCACTCACTTGCCCCTTCAAAAATGCACTTGTTTCGGACAAGCATGACACATCCTTTGTTCTAACCTGGCAGTGGAAAACTTGGTCGGGAAGAGGAATTCTGTGATGGCTTTGCTGTCTCTGACTGTGTGGGGCTCTAAGACGTTTCCTCACATAGTCTTTCTTCCAGGTAACCTGTTGCAGGGTGACAATAACGACCAGGTGTATACCATGACTCCTGCAGCAAAGAAATGTAAATAAATCACTCTTATGAAAAAAAAAAGCTGGGGACTGATACTCTTTATCAGCTCTCGATTATCTTCTAATCAGAATCAGGACAACTTACATAACCATGTCCCTCATTGTTCTTCAGGCAAGGAAACTGGGCAGTTAGTGCCAAAGCCATCTCCTTTTTGATCTCAGCTGATGGGCTTTACAAATAAACAATCATTTAAATAGGCAAGTTTATTTATTTAAATGTATTGTTCAAGTGATTTTACTTGTACTCACGTTTCCCAAAAACTTTCCATCAAGTGAGAAACCAATAACCGCACCATCTGACGTCACTCCTTAAGGCTTAGGTGCCTGTCTCGGTCTAAGGATGTTATTAATGTTGATCCTCCAGATTTTATGATTATTTCTCGTATATCCTGTGAAAAGGAGAATGCATGAACTAAAAAATTCCATTCAATTCATTCTTAAAAATATATATAATAAAATAATTGCCAAAAACTCAAGTTCAGGTGAAGTTCAATTAAAAGACATGTTATTACAAAGGTTGAGTTGCTTGTTGTTCTTGTCTGCCAGCTTTCCACTATTGTTTGAGTTGGTGTTATTGGGTTTATCCTTATAGGTGACTGATTGTTAACGGCTATGGCCCAGACTCGGAGACTGTTAAAACAAATAGAGGTAAATATCAGATGGTATCTGCAATTATCCACAATATGGCTGGGCAATATGACAGTATCCTCTGAATTTAGATCAAGCCATACCTACTGTATTTAGTGTTGTCTAGAACATATCAGTGACTTGGGCAAATGTCCGAGCAAGAGGGAACCAGTTCATTACCATTAACAAACGAAAATGTAAATTATATATTATATATAAACATTCATCACTAAATGAAAAAGATTAACTTACCTTGAAATGTTTCTATTAAATTGCAGAGGTTCCACTGTTCTAGTTTGTTTGTCCCTAACAAATGAATCCATTTATCTAAAACATAACACGTTTAGTACAATTAATACAAATGCAAAATTGTCATAGCATATACTATAATTAGATGCTATACCATTAACTTACTCCTGTAATACATTTAAGGTTAATACAACAATGCATTACTATATAAAAATTTTAAGCAGCTGTATGTACGTTTACCTTGAAACATCAGTTTCAGACTCATTCTGATGGTAAACTGACCTAACTTACCTATACAAACATGATGGTTAACTGACCAGACCCCACACACGTCTGTTAACGTTATAGCTATGCATGTTTGAGTGGTGGGGCGTTGTTACGAAAATCCGCGGAAAGTAACGTTAGCAGCTTGCAGCTACAGGATTGCTTTACATCAGCCAAATCAGCGCTTTCGTCTGGTTTTTTAAAATACTTTTATAACAGAGAATTCAGTGAATCAAACGTTTCTCACCGAATCTCACAGCATTGTTGTGGTGTCCGTCCGAGGTGTGAGCTTTAGCTAACTTATAGAGCTGAACTAACTTATGTGCCGGTCCGAGCTGATAAATGGTCCGTGCAGCGTAAATACTGATTAACGTTAACGTTACCTACTTTAGTTTATTGGTAGCTGCTATACATTTTCGCTAATCTTTCGGCTAAGGTTTTAATGGCATTATTAATGCTAGCGAGAAAATAGCTAACAAAATCGATCTGATTCGGAGAATAAAAAAAATACAAAAGTGAACCATAACATAAAAAACATTTCTAAGATATATTTAACTTTTCAGTACACATTATTTCATGTTATAAAAGTTATATATACATCATATTACTTAACTTACCTTTCACAATCGGCTGTCGCTGATGTCCGTTGACTGTCTGTCACTGACTTGGTCCGTTAATATTTGAACCATAGCGCGAACGTATTTAACCCAACAGTTAGGTTATAACTAACAATAACCCAACGGCACAACCAAATAACCCAACAAATTTTAAGATAACCCAACATAATGACCCAACATGCATACACCAACGGTTGAGTTACAAAAATAACCCAACGTTTTTTAGTGTGCACGCACACGCATTCATACAAGTTGAAGAAAGACAGAGAGTGAGGAAGAATGAGTTTTAGAAGTTAGATGGTGAGATCCCAAGTTTCTATATGCACTTAAAAGACATGACCTGAACGAACCATCAATAATTAATTTCACCCTTGTATCGTTTCTTAGGCGGGTAATTCAATTTGATATTAAAATCACCAGTTCAGTTAAAAGTCTGGAGGTACTTGCTTGTCCTTGCTTTGGGGTTCCCTTTTGTCGTGAAGGGGGTTCCCCGGTCCGTTGCTTGGCTGATCTTCTCGTGTGCCTGGATAGATCTTGGACAGCCAGTCACGTGGTGTGTTGGCGGATGGATGAAAGTCTTTGAAGTTGAAAGCTGGTTTTGCAGTTGAAACGTTAAAACGAAACTTTGCAGCAACACTTAACTTAGAACCGAGACTTTTAACGGAAAAGAAAAGAAACTAAGAAAAGAAAGAAAAGTGAGACGAGATGGCTTGAATTAAATCTGTTTTAACCCATATCTTGATTTGGGTCATTTGTCTCTGCGTCTACATGGTTACTATAACCATCGTCGGCTCCACCCGGCTTGTTCTGCCGAAGGAGAGCATCACAAGAGCATCACAAGAGAGCAGAGGGCAAGAGCGGATCACAAGAGCATCACCAGAGCAGAGGGCAAGAGAGCATCACAAGAGCGCATCACAAGAGAGAGATTCTGTGTTCGGGTCTAAGATTTTAAACTCAAAATGTTTGTCCCGCCTCTTGGAGGAATTTGGAATTCGGACAATAAGATACCATATGGTTATTTGAGAAGGGGGTCTTTTCTATCCCCCCCCCCTTCTCTCATCGCGAATCATGTGTTCTCTGTGGTCTGCTTACTCATCAGCTCGAAACAGAGGATTCAGTTCAGACATAATTTCCATTTTAAGAACATAAACATTTTTACACAGATTTCAATCGAGCAATCTTTTGAATTAAAAACATACGAGCATAATGATAGGAAACACGACACTTTCATTCCAGTATCTCTAATATTCAAAACAATTACATGACTTAGATGTGATCTAAGCAGAATAGACACATACAGGGGTTGTAAACACAATATATAATTATGTTATGTTACATGATTTTGATTATGGGTCAGTCAAGAATTGTTCTGGGATGAGTTTTATTGGTATTGGAGAATTGGAGGAAAGTCCTTATGTGTGTGTGTGTGTGTGTGTCCTTTTGGTCAGCATTTGTCGCATCCGTGGTGTTTACCACGTGAGGGTTTAGTTCGCAAATGGTGGTCTTCAAGACAAAGGGTATTTTGTATGCAAGTCCACTTTTACAGCCTTAATGAGATATAATAATTGATGAGGGGAAAACTAGCTCGGGACCCTGAATGGTTCAGTCTCTTTAGTCGCAGGGGTCAGGTGACTTCTTGTTAGGGCCTTTTGTTTCACCATTTCTGAACAGATCTGTTCTTGCCAAATTATAAAACATTGACAACGTCCTTCCTTTAGTTAAACAACAAAAGGTCTTCTTGCTTCATAGCCTGGGGATAATCTGGAATATGCAGCCCCTTGTGTTTGATTATGTACGACAGCTTCGCTTGTGTGGGTTTCATTCTCGTTGTCGCTACATACTCGTGGGCCAGAACTATGTTAAGTTGGTCAAAAAGGAACCTCTTGTATAGCCTATATAACAACAGACCTCTGTATGGGTGAATTAACATCAGAAGGACTCTATACGTTTATTTTGTTTAAAACCTTTTGAGGACCCTTTGACCAGAAATTAGTTCAATAGGTCAGATATGGACATTCTATATGGCTTAGGAATCATCAGAAGGATGAGTATGTATAGAAAGTTCAAGATCAAGTACCCATGGGCCAGAAATATGTCCAGTAGGTCAAATGTCTGTCTGGCTAAAATAACATGATAAGAGGTCATTCTGTATAGCAACTTAATGTTCAAGAACTCTTTGGTAAGAAATATGTTCAATTGGTAAAATAAGGACTCTTGTATGGCTGAAGTAACATCAAAATGAGTCAATGAGTATGGTTAGAAAGTTCAAGATCTAGTACTCGTGGGCCAGAACTATGTTCGTGGGTCAAAAAAGAACCTCTGTATAGCTTATATAACATCAAAAGGAATCTACAAGTTTATATTGTTTAAAACCTTTTGAGGACCCTTTGACCAGAAATGAGTTCAATAGGTCAGAAATGGACATTCTATATGGCTTAGGAAGCATCAGAAGGAGTCTATGAGTATGTATATAAAGTTCAAGATCGTGGGCCAGAAATATGTCCAGTAGGTCAATAAGGGTTAGTACTCGTGGGCCAGAACTATGTTCGTGGGTCAAAAAGGAACCTCTGTATAGCCTATATATAACTGCAGACCTCTGTATGGGTGATTTAACATCAGAAGGAGTCTAAAAGTTTATATTGTTTAAAACCTTTTGAGGCCATTTGGCCAGAAATTAGTTCAATAGGTCAAATATGGATATTCTATATGGCTTAGGAAGAATCAGAAGGAGTCTTTGAGTATGTATAGAAAGTTCAAGAGCACATGTGATATTGTGCAAAAGCACATGTGATATTCCTCAAATGCACAACATTTCATCATTCGTATGTGCAATTAATCCAAAAGAACATGCATTGCACATCTCTTCTTCGCACAAAGGAACGAGTTAGTCATTGTATGTATTGTAAACCGACTGCTCATGTGGTTTTCTAGTCAGTGCACAACTGAATTAGTTGTAGAATGGAAATGCATGCGAAAGCACATATGTTAGGTGTTTTCTTTTCATTGCACAGAGGATTATGTTAGTTATTGTGTGCATTATAATGGAATGGCTATTTCAATAATTTCCCTTCAATATAAAAAGGAATAGTTTAGAATGCAATTGCAATGCGAAAGCACAATATATAATGCAATGCGAAAGCACGTATGTTATATGTTTTCATTGCACAGAAGTTAGTTCTTTCTTGCAATGCAATGCAACTGTTAAAAATGCTATCTCTTCAATGCACATCGGAATGCGTTAGTTATTTTATACATTGGCACTGTACATAGCTTATATATTATTCTTTAATGCACAGCGTTAGACGTGTGTGCAATGCAAGTATGTTGTTTCTTCGTTGAACAAAGAAATAAGTTAGTTATTGTATGCATTGTAAAGCAACAGCTAATGCAACGATTTCTCTTCATCACACAAATGCAACAGCTAAATGCAAAGATTTTCCTTCAGTTACACAACTGAATAAGTTAGTTGTAGTGTGGAAAAGCATGTGAAAGCACAGGTGTTATTATTATTATACTTCAATGCACAACGTTTGATCGTATGTGCAAAGAATCCAAAAGCACATGCATTGCACATCTCTTCGTTGCACAAAGGAACGAGTTAATTATTGTATGCATTGTAAAGCGACAGCTCATGTGATGTTTTCTCGTCAGTGCTCAAATTTATTAGTTGTAGAACAGATATGCATGCGAAAGCACGTTATATCTTTTCTTTTCATTGCACAGAGGAATATGTTAGTTATTTTGTGCATTATAGGCCTAATAGAATGGCTATTCAATAATTTCCCTTCATATAAAAAAGAATAGTTTAGTATGCAATTGCAATGCGAAAGCACAATATATA